CGATTCTTCAATCAATTTTGATTGGTTCAACATTCATACAAGGTTACAGTACTATTGTTTATTGCGCTGTATTGTTCGCTGTGTCCAGATGTTTCGATATTATTACATATTTCTAATACGTAACGTACATGGAAATTATTTTTCTCCGCGGTAGAGTACTTTTCGATACAACATACATATAGAAAATAAACATTAATTTTGGAAAAACAATAATTTATTAGATATTAGACTATCCTACCTTCTATTTGGAGTACTCTTTACCTATATACATATACATACTGCGGATCTTTATGCATTTATAGGAAATTTGAAATGCAAGAAACTAGAAAATCCGCACAATATGCAAGAATATAAAATAACATTGAAAGTAAAGTTCATATTAAAAATGAATTTCTACTTAAGGTTCAATTTTTGTAAGTTTGCAAAGATTTTATTTTACATAAACAACCATAGTCCACTCATGTATTACGGAAGTAAGTAAACCGTTTAATAATTAAAAAAGAAAACTTTTATTCGATGTTTTATGGTAATTGTAAAGCTGTTTAAGTAATGATATCGTAATTCTGTCCAGCTTGAGTCATATTTTTCTTTCAAATCGTGTGGCTTGTATAGCTAACGGGTTAAGTATGGGAAAAGCTTTGTTTACAATGGAAATCGTATCGTTCCGAGGAGAACAATATTTCAGGAGCTATGAGATTCCGGTCCATAAAGCATAGCAAATAGTCGTGTGTACGTAAGTTACAGACAGTTTCAGCGTCGACCCGTCTTTTTCGAGGATTTCAGCGGCAATTTTTGGAGTGGAAAGAGATGGAATGGAAAGATTTCATTCTTGTGGTTCTTAAAAGTAGGTTATTTCAAACATGTTATTACGACAGGTTGCAACGAAATTAATCGCTATAAGAAAATCTAAAGTTCTTTTATTCGCTAATTATTTTAAGTCTTCAACTTTAACAATGGTTTCTGGTTTGTTATATAACGGAATTGGTAATTTTTAGAAACATGTAATTTGGAAATTAATTATCGTATAAAATTCAAATTTCGTATCGCAATTAATCAATATTCAAACAGGAAACAAGCTATATTAAATAGATTGTAGAGTATTTGGTAGAATGGGCGTCGAATCATAGTCCCGAAGAAAAATATAGCTCGCTGGTATTCATATGAACGACACCAAGATCGTTATTAACGAAAAATAAAGAAATATTCTTATAAAATTATAAAACTGGTAATTTTAAGATATAAAGAAATTCTTACATAAAAATTGTTTAAAAGGATTGATGTACTATAAAAATGCATAGAATTGGGTTAACGGAGGAGCGATTTTACGAATTAAATGAGTTAGTATGTAAAAGAGACATAATTGAAATGAATATTCTTTTTACAAAAATACATATAATTAGGACCAAATTTTTATACTGCATCCCTTAAAACGAATTTTTCGATGAGACCCTTTTCATAATATTTTGAAAATCCAAGCACGCTTCAGAGATGAATAAACATTTATGCTTTTTTTCTTTTTTTTATTAAAGCTATTAAACCCCCTACGGGATTATTAGCAATATGCACATAGCTGTGCATATTATCAGTACATATATAGATTTATATTATAATATATGAAATACAATACAATATGACAAAACAATTTCGAAAAAGAGTACAAAACATATGAATCAAGAATAATAATAATATCAAGAATAATAGGCTTATCATTAAGGATATACACAATTGTTTTTCAGAAATTTGTAAATAATTAGCAGCCGTTGAACGAGAGTCTTGTATAGAAAAGCATCCACCGTATATGGAGGATAATATCCGACTTTACATAATTTATAAATCATATCATTACGATCTTTGTCAAATAATTAACATTGCCAGATAACATGGTTGAGATCTTGCTCTGGACAACCACACTCGCAGTCAGAATTTTCAATGAATTTAACTCTAAAAAGTGAAGTGACATCTATTAGTCCAACATTTATGCTTTGATATCAAAGTGATCACAAGTACTTACTACGAACCGAGTGATTTAAGATTCGAAGTGAAAACAATTTTTCGGTGCGTAGTTCGCGGAACGATCAGTGACCCGTGCAATACTATATTTAGCTCGAGTGCTCGCGATTCGCGCCTGAACACCTTAAACGGTCATTTACATTTCCTCCGATGGGAAATGTCGTAGCTGCTGGTTTCTCAATCCGTGTCACCGACTCCGGTAACTTGCGCTAACGCGCTTTCCTTGATACTGTTTCCGTTTAAAGTCCAGCCGCGATCTCTCTTTCATCCTTAACCCTTTGCGGTCGGAGGCATTTCTACGCGTTGAGCGATGGGTAACCTACTAGTCGCGACACGCTGAGCGTTGCTTACATCGCATGCGCTTTTCCATTTGAACGATACCGCTCTCAGAACTATCATATAGGTATATCGACTCGTGTTGTTTGTATACGTCCTCGTCAATGAGAAGATAACCCAAATCCTCCTACCTCAAAAGAAAAGTTAAAAAATTCTACTGGCTCCTACGATCGAATCTAAAAATGGAAAGTAAACTCATCCTATACAAAGCCATGTTAAAGCCCATATAGACTTATGGGATACAATTGTGGGGCATTGCGAGCAACTCTAACATCGAGATTCTATTAGGTTGTCCCGAAAGTTTCTTTCGCGAGTTGCACTCAATTATTTTATGTGGTCGTGTTTATATAAATAGACAATCTAATTTCATAGATATTCATGTTGTAACAATAATGGAGCAAAATGAATCGTGCACAATTCAGTAATGTAACATAAAACATAAAATATTGTGCATTTACTCCTTATTAATAAAGGGAAAGAAACTTTTGGGATAACATAATACAAAGACTTCAATCTAAAGTACTAAAACTGGTCTCTAATGCACCTTGGTATGTTACCAATGAAGTAATTCATCGTGACTTAAAGATGCCCACAATAAAAGAAGAAATTTCACGATACAGCAACCGCTATAATTCACGCCACACTAGTCATTCGAATCCTCTTGTCATCCAACTCAGAGACACTACAGCTCATGCGCGTAGATTGAAAAGATACTACCCTCTGGAACTTTGTAATAGATTTAATTAACTAAATATAGACTCGCATATTGTAATCACACGAAATAGTAAATTCTAGAATGTACGTAACTGAAACTTACAAACCATGCCACTGTAACACGCTAACCTAATTGCTAATAATTCTCTATGAAGATTGGTTGTAATTGCTTAATTATATATATGTTATTCTTATTGTTATTCTTATTGTTATTCTTTCTTACATCGTAGCTTAAGGGGTTAAACTCCAATTTTGCCTCTTTTATATATATATATATAAAAGAAAGAATGAGAAGATAACCAAAAAGATTAAATTTCTTTACAACGCGCAAAATTGGAGTTTAACTCCTTAAGCTACGATGTAAGGAAGAGCGCCGAGGCTAAAACTAGCTACGAGTAGTTATTTTGAGACTTTGTACTTTTATATAGTTTTTGACGCTGAATTCAATGGTGTAAACAAAGAAATGTTTAAACAATTTTTTTGGCCTCGGCGCCCTCCCTTAAGCTCCAACAGTCTGTGCCCAAAGTGTAATGTTTACATTTGGTCCGAACAATACACCACGAGCCAGGCTCGTGATAATCAGTTTTGGCCCGAATATCCGACTACGAGTCTCGCACGTGGTTGTAGCTTAAGGGGTTAACAAGGACTAAGAGGCTACCTAGGAGAAAGAAACCAAGAAAAAGAGGTGCATATTTGAGAATTCTTTTTGGCCAAACGGAAGATTCTCTGGTAATAAGTTTAATCATTTGCACTCTATGTGGGACATCGTAAGTCTAGCAAATTTTATTAGTGGTTATGTAGAATAAATTTATGCTAGGAAAAATTTTTAAAAAATGCACGTTTTCTTGAAATTTTCTTATCGAAATTGCACGAGAAAGCAAGCCAAAATATGGTGTATGTACAGAGATTCAGGGAAAAGTATATGAGTAGGAGTTACATGGAAGGAGTATAAGTAAAGGGTTTTCTAAAAGAGGCTTCAGGGTTTTGTTTTTAATAATAAAATATCCTTGTCAACGTGCCGTAATTGGACACTTTCAATTATGTTCAATTACAATCATGTATACTTTATTTAAAATGTACCAATTAGACATATCCAATATATATTACAATATACCATACAGTCAGTCCCATTAGTATTCGTACCCTCAATATTTATTGAAGAAATTTGCCTAATTTAAATGAATGATTCATGTTTCCAAATAAATTTGTAATTGTAAATATATACATGTGGAAAGTTTGTTCATGTACATATTTATAATGGAGAATTGATTTGGAAACATGAAGCCTGTCATTTAAATTAAACAAATTTCTTTAATTGATATAGAGCATTTTCTGAAGCCTCTTTTGAAAGATCCTTTATGTTTGCAGTGGTGTCAACCCTTCAAAAAAGTTATACAAATTTATAATCAATTCTAATAATACCAAAATGGACACGTTTCTAAAGTTAGACTATTTAATTTAATGCAATTCCTGTTCGCACATTTTGCAATGAGATGGCGCAGAGTGCAAAGGGTTAAAGGTATTCGAATGAACGTTTCATAGTGCATCTATCACAATTTTTTTATTCAAAAATATCTTAAATAAACAAAGTTGTGGCATTGTAATTGTTATCTGCCTCGGAGCTGGGTTAGTAAAAAATCAAAACAAAACCATTTTTTAATAACATACTGAATTATCTTAAAAAATTATAGTAAAGTGTGATATTTGGGATATACTGTTCGAAAATAGAAAAAGAGGATTTTTCTACGGTTCAGCGTACATGTATAGAGCAGATTTGTTAGAGTTGGCAAATTCGACGCGATAACATCGCAATCAATAGCGATAATTCTCATTAATAACACCGATAAGGAAGCGTTATCGAAACTATATTTTTCTTTCCGTTGATCTTATCGGGAAACGAGAAACGTTCCGAGTAATATCAGAATTGGTGTATTCGAAAGGTTCGCGACGGAGAGGGCGATCGCACGCGAGGAGCTGCTGCGCGGAGGAACTCCAGGGATTTCAAGCGTTGCACGTGATCAGTCGTGGTGGCAGACAGCACAGTCCAACGGGAAACCCGGGACAGGATCAGCCAGTGGTCGACTACAGGCGACTGGTCTTCATCAGCTCGGATTCGTCATCCGGACGCGAAGAGGACGACGCTGACAGCAGTTGCTCCAGTTCCTCTTTCCTGAACGGGTTGCCGCGCGGCGGGAGTCACACGCAATCCCTGGAGGATTGCGACTGGGATTATTTCGAGAGCGGAACTTTGCCTCTGCCACCTGGTGTGCCGATTACTATCGCAACGAACAACGTCGGAACGGCGACCAACACTGGTCAGGATTGGAGCTGCTGCCCTGGACGTGGCACCGCGCCTTGTCAGGTGAGTTTCACCAGTACCAATTATACAGTAGAACTGGAACTTTTATTCAGATTTCTATAGTAATTACTAAACCGCGGATCTTTATGCATTTATAGGGAATTTGAATATGCAAGAAACTACAAATTGCAAACAATATGGAAGAATATAAAAAAGATTGATAGTAAAGTTGATTGAGTTTTTGTAGGTACGTTTACAAAGATTTTATTTTGCATAAAGATCCGCAGTTTAGTAATTACATTAGCACATTGGTTGCTATTCAGAAATTGATGCCACGACTTTTTCATTAATCCTTTTGACCCGATTTTCTTCTACTAGGATTCTATTCGTCTCTCGTTTAGAAATTAATTGTATTAATCAAGGCTGTATTCAGATAAGAAGGGATAATTTACCCAACGCGCAAGTAATATTCATTTTTTCTTTTTTTTTAACCAACTTCAAAAAGGAGGAGGTTACTCAATTCGACATGTGTATTTTTTAAGATGTGTTCACCGATTACGCCGAGATGGCTCTTGCATCTTGTAGAGCATATCTCCTCGGTGGTCCCATTATCAAGACATTTTGCGATTTGTCATTTCTTACCTGTTTTTTTTATGCAGAAAAAGAAAAAATTTTGTACTGCTTTTTAATCCGAGACCAATGGACTAATCGGATTGAAACTTCTTGCATCTGGTAAAGCATCACTTGGTCCCATAAAAAAAACATTTGGCCTTATTTTATTGTTTAACCCTTTCGCTTCGGCGGTCCAGTACGCCGAAGTACCGTCATTTGAACGGAAGCGCACTTACTAGAAATATGCACAGTGCGCATGGTTTCTGTATACATATACAGTACGGCTCAAAAGTATCTGGATACTTGCGAAATACGTATATGTATTGGCATTGCATACAAATTATGTGAGTACTTAAAGTAATAACCAAAATCGATTTTTATTAGTTTTTTACGAAATATCTAACGCTTTAAATGAAAAATTACGTATGTGGAACTTACCAGTACTATACTAAAAGTAAATACGGGATAAATCGATGTATCCCCCGCGGTTAGATATTACCGCTTGCACTAATCTTGCACTAATTCTTATCTCTCTCAAGAGAACATAAACATATCGTCAACAGTTTGCAGGTATTTAATACATACCGAAGAGCTCCCTGAACTCGTTTTTAATCATAGAGATGAAACAAAGTGGAACTTGAGATTATTTTAAGCATTAAGACCGTTCCATTAGATTTTCTATTTCTAGGCAGGAATTTTATTTCCGCATATTTATTATATAATTTGTACATAAAAATTAATTCTATTATGCTATGATACCTCAAAAAAGATAACAGTAATAATTACAATTTATATAAACGCTGTAAATACCTTTCGTACAAAGTTAAACTATGTTTTATAGAAGAGAAGCAAGTGTCCGGATACTTTTGAGCGGTAGTGTACGTTTCCTTAAGTCTTAAATAACAACTGTGCTGAATAGAACAATCGTTGTTCTGATATGTCAAGTATAATTCACATTTTTAATATGAAAAGACTTACAAAATTATAGGTAATACAGGGATTTACATATTTACTAAACTTTACGATAAATGTTTAATATAATTAAGAATGAAACGCAAATTAGTTAATCTATTAATATGTCAAGATTAGTAATGTAATTTGATATGATATATTTTAAAACGGGGATCTATACATAAGCAAACATTGCAATTTTTACATTCATATCGTGATTCCGATCTTTTATCATTTTTACTGCAAACGATATCGCGTCCCCACAGGTCATCTTGTGAATGTCGCTCATCAGCGACATTCGACGCGAAAGGGTTAAATTTGTTCCTGAGTCCCAATTGTAATTTGGCCAAAGACAACCAAAAACATTTACTGGAATATACAGTCAGTCTCATAAGTATTCGTACCCTTTATGTCGATTGAAGAAATTTATCTAAATTAGATAATAGGTTTCAGGTTTTCAAATAAATATTTCATTATAAATACATACGTGAATAAAGTTTACCTATGTACGTATTTATGATGAAACGTTTATTTGGAAAGGTTTATTTATCTTTCCAACCTATAATTTAATTTACACAAATTCTTCAATAGACATAGAGAGTACGAATACTTATGGGACTGACTGTACATGTTCCACGAAGATCGAAAGGGTTAAGGAGCTAAAGAAATTGATTTTTAAGATAAGGAAATAATAAAAATTAATCTGATTAGGTTTCGTGAATTTGGCGACGTTAAAGAATTAAATACTACGACGAATGTTAAATTATTCAATCTTCGATAGTCTCGAGACAAAATTTTAACTTTGTAGAAATTTTCACGAGTGTTAGTTTGGTAGCCAACGTGTTAATAATGTAATTGAAATATAATAACGGATTCGTCGAAAGATTTAAGATTTGTTGTTAAACATTATTGAGTATTTGTAAACTTTATAAACTTCAAAAAGAAAACTATGTATTCGTTTGGAGACATTCTATCAGAATGTTTACAAGAAACTATATCATTTCATTAAGAAGAAAAAAAGAAAAAAAAACGTAGTTGACCTTCGTATCTTCTTTACGCCTCCACTGATAAGAAAGTTATTAGCAGCACGTTACGTGCCCTTCGACATCGAGTAGTCATCCTCCTTCTTCTATTAAATCTGAATGTTGAAGTTATACATGTTGGAATATTTACTATAATTCAATTTTTTATTTTACCACAATAATAAATGCACCGAGAATATATGTACAATGTATATGACATGGCTTACCCTCTCAAGTGCCATTGAGAACCCTATCTACAGTTTCCTAGAGCCTAAAGGGATATATAAAGACTGCAACATATACAGCTAGAAGTTCTTTCTACCTTTTACTTATAACGTTTGTCTGTTAGTCATGATTAGACTGCGGATCTTTATGCATTTATAGGAAATTTGAATGTGCAAGAAACTATAAAACGCAAACAATATGCAAGAATCTTTTTATAAAAAAGATTGATAGTAAAGTTGATGTTATAATATCTGCAGAATAAAATAAATTCCAATTTAAGTTAAATTTTTGTAGGCACGTTCGCGAATATTTTATTTTGCATAAAGAACCGCAGTCTAGTGATCAACTCCTCGTAGAGTAAAGATCTCAGCTTATTCGTGACATTTTAGAAATAAAATCAAAGCTTTTAACTAATAAAATTAGTATTTTATTATTTTATTAAACCTCATTTCCAGTAATACGCTATAATTTTCTGCGCAGGCCTGCGGAGGTTCACGAGGTGCCAACGTGCTCCCGGTCCCAGTGCCGATACCAGTGCCCGTCCCATATCCGGTGCCCGTTCCAGCTGCTCTCTGGACAGGGGACTTTGCAGCCGCCGCATCCTCCATGATTAGCCACAACAGCGATGCCCATGCAGAACCAGGAACACTGAGGTTGAGAGGCGACCCAGCTGCGCCCTGGTTCGCTTGGCATCCTCGGTTCAATCAGCCTCTTCACGAGACCAGGCTCGATCCAAGGTTGACGGGTGTCTTCGATCCGACAACCTGTACTTTCAGGCCTGACCAAGTGTTAACGCCGCGTTTATACGGGTCTGGCGTCGAAACGTCGCCCATTCCTACGACGGAAGTGCTGCAACAGCGACTGGTCGGTCTGCAGATCAATCGCGACGAAAATGACGACGCTGGGACGAGCTCTATATCGAAGCAGGCGGACTCTTTTCGAAGCGAGATCGCGTACGATGCCGCAAACGAAGCTAAAACTACGGAGCAGTCGTCTGCGAAGATCCGGGGAAAATTGGACGAGCAGAAAACCGAGCAGAGCCAACAGAACGATGAGGAAACGAAGCAGACAAAGGAAAACGAGGAAGTCGCGTGCCAAGATTCCGGGACCGTGTCCTTCGAGAGCAGGAGGGGACAAAGGATGTACCAGCACGAGGATTCTGGCAGCTCCTCGGGACGATCTTCCGCGGACAGCAGCGATTTGGACGACGACTCGTCCTCCCATAGGTTCTCGAGGGTCTTTGTCGTCAACGACGACTCTCTCACCAGCGATAACGACATCGAAGACAACGGGGACGAGGACGACGATTCCGATTCAGCCGCCGAGGACGGCATTACGCTGAAAAGAGTGACCTCTCTGCCGGAAGAAGAGCCTGTGGTTCTGCAATACGTTCGATTCTTCAGCGAGGAATCGAACTTTGAAAACCCTAGCGACAGTCGAGCACAGAACAGCAGCAGAGACAGTTCGGAGGAGGAGCAAAGAATGCGATCCAATTACAAGGAAAAGGTAGCCTCGCCGGGCGACGATGATACGATGCCCGAACGACACGAGAAGCTTAACGAAAAACGGAAAGTTCGTGGAAAGAAGAGCAACCCGGAACCGGACAACGGTCCTGTGTTGTTGCACCACTGCGCGATGCCCGAAGAGATGTACATCGCGAGCGATAACGATTGCTCCGAAAACCAGATAGAACTTAAATCCGTGAAAACGTTGGATCCCGATAGCATCGAGCCGATAATCGTCAACAATTCCAGCGAAAGCGTCGCGTCGGAAACAGAAATGAACTTTGAAGGAAAATTGTACGACAAAGAAGAAAACGTTTCGGAAATCGATAGGTCCGAAGCTACGAGTCGAGCAACGTCTAGCAACGAATCTACGGATTCGGACGATCAAGCAAAGTTTCTATCCGCCGACGTTTGGGATCCTAACATAATCCCAGACTCGTTGGAAATCTCCGAATCAGAAATTCCGAGTGTCGATCACTCGTCCCCTGAGAGTAGCCCCGAGGCTTCCAAGTTTCGCGTTTCGACGCCTACGAATATTCGCGACGCAGGGAACAATCGATCGAACGGTAAGGATTATCGCGAAACTGGAATCAATAACTCGACCGCATTATCGGAGATAACGTCGTGCGATACTCCCGATCGAGGCAACGATAACCGTGAGGGTGACACATCGACCGATTTAAATTCAAACTTCAACGCGACGGCGAACTCGAGCGCGCTTTCAGGGTCCGACAGTTTCACGAGTAACGAGACGAACGCGACTGGAAGCGAGGCGAGCAGCGACGAACTTCACGAATACGAGGTGACGTCGGCCAGCGTCTCCTCGCATTACGATAGCAACGAATTGTCGTTTTCGGCTGTGAACGGCGAGTTGTTGTCGAAACTGAACAAAAGAAACGACGAGAGAACATCGTGGCAACCGAAGAGATTCAAGGATGCCGAGGAATCCAGCGTTACCGCATCGAACAGAATGAAATGGAATATAAAGTACGAGAGATTGGACGTTGAGCAATCACCGGATAATGCAAACAACGGCGAAAGTGTCGTAAGCGCGCGTACCGAGAATGATTCAATGCCGATTACCGCGAAGGATGATCGATCCGTTGCGAGCCACGGCGGAAGATCGGCGACAATAGAGGTGACCAAAGATGGCGCGAAAGACAACGACCCGCAGGAGGAGAGTCGCGATGGAATCGAATTAAAAAGAGCGGGCAGCGCGGTGGGCGATACGCTAACCAACGAGATTCGAGAGATTTCAATGAACGCGGAGAGCGCAGACACCGCAGGTAAGGCAGAGAGTGCGCATGATTGTAACGCGCGTGCGGTGAGCGGCGAGTGTCCTGCTTCTAGTCAGGTTGTAGGAGAGCTACAAAGTGGGGGTGGTGAAGGTGGTAGTGGCATCGAGTATAGCGGTGCCGGTGGTGGCTGCCTCGAAGAGGGGGTATCGACACGGTTTCGCTCAGTCGAGCGACGCCCGTCTACCGGAAAGGAGAATGGATTCCTTCCTGCCGTGTCGACCAAAGATCCCGTTCAACGCTTTCCCTCGACGGTCCAGAACAATAATATCGGCAACAACAACAACAAATATAGAAGCCTCGTGATGATTACTCAGGAAGCCTCGTACCAACCTGTCAGCGTTATCACCTCGGACACGACGACCTTGTTGCAGCCGGATGAAGTGCATATGGCTAGTCAGGGTCTGGCTGGATACTTCCAGCTGGCGCTGGAAGCCGTAGCCGAGCAACCACACCGTAAAAATGGTCAGGGACCGAGGAAACCCCTTATGGTGAAACGGTTGTCCAGTACTATCGCGAATCATTCGGAGCCGGAAGTTGACAGTGGTTTGAGTGTCGGTAGTGCCAGTGAAAGTGACGATGTTTCGGTGAAAAACTGCACGAAGGTGGTCAGTCGGCAGGAAAATAACGAGGAAAACTCTTCGAGGGAGCGGCAGGTTAACGAGCATCGCGAAGGTACGCGTGCACGTGCCTCCTCGCAATCCAGCGATGACAATTCAGGGAGCGGTGGGATCGTGATACTGGAGGAAGGATTAGCCGACGATGATTCATGGGTGGAAGAGGTGTCGCACGACGAGGACGAACCTGGCGCTACGACTGCGACGGAGGAGAGTTCGGAAGACGAAGCGAACAACCTTGGTGACCGCGAAGAAGAGCTCAGAGGTTACCATAGGCAGGCCATCGACTTCACTTTGCATACCATCGTCGAGGAATCCTGCGAGGAAAGCGAAGCGGAGCCGAGTCTGGCAACAGGTAGCCCATCGAAGAAGCAAAGGCCACCGTCCGCCTCCGAGCTGGAGAAATACTTTTTCTTCGGTCTCGGAGGAGATGGCAACAACTCGAGCATGGGTTCGCGCGAAGTCGACAGTTTGTCGGAGACGTCCTCTATTTATTCCGAGGGATTGGAATCGCTCGGACAGGACGAAGCTCCGTGTGCGGGACAGAGTCAAGAGAGATCGAGCTCTGGAGAAGGATTCTTGAATTCCTCGAGACTGGAGAAGTACTTCCTTTCGGAGTTTCTTGGTTTCGATCAAGATAGACGCGACTCCGATGGCTCCGTTGGTAGCGACTCCGAGGGAAGGCCCAGCCCGGAAGCGCAGAGAAAAAAGAAGCTGGTCCGTGCCAGAGGTACCGGTAGATCGCACAGTTCGTCTTTGGATAACTTGTTAGCTCTCACGCAGAGCTCGCAGAATTTAAGCTCGCAAAATTCTCTTCAAGATTTGAGCCTGAACCAAGATGCGCAAGAGAGTCAGTCGGAAGGTTCCTCCACGGAGACCGACGGAGCGGACGACGGCCAAACCGCTGCCTTTGGAACGGACGGACAATTCGATACTGTGAAACGTAAGAAGAAAAAACCTAGAAATCTGGGAACTCAGAGTCCACGTGTCCCGGACGACAGGAACAAAACGCCAGAACCGAGCAGAGAGATGGTCCTCGTAGGAGAAGTGGTGATGGAAAACGAAGCGGAAGCTATCAATTCGGAGGATTCGGACAGAGCAAAGACGCCGCAACCCGAGTGCGCGTTGTCTTCTTCCTCGTTAGCGTCGACCACCATTATTTCTTCGGCGACTTCGGCATCGCAAGCAGACTCTGCGAGAAACATTCTAATAAATTCAGGAGACTCGTCGACCTACAATCAAAGATCTAAACAGCAATCGAGAGATTCCGGATTTGTTGGTAGCTGCGACGATCTTCTTCAACACCAAAAGCTGCCCGACGATACTCAAATCAACGCCGAAGTTAATCAAGAATCTGGAAAAGATTGCTCTGGCAAGGAAAACGGCGAAAATGCTCAAGTTGCGAGTCAAACCTCTACGGAAAGATCGCCCGGGGTTGAAAAGTGTAGAAAGACTAAAATGGATCATCCCTTGAGTCACGCCGCGCTACCCCACTTACCTAACCCGTCACTTTCGAGAAAGGACAGCTTCAATAATTGGTCCAGCGACGAGGAAACGAATTTGATGATGTCAAAAATGAGACAATTCTTTAAAACTATGGTCGCTAATTCGAATGGACAGAATCCGAACGCTGGCAGTACTAATTCGAGCGGAGTCTCGCCTGCGCCCAGTCCTCGGTTACCTGGATACGCGACGAAAGCCAGACTATGCTCGCAAAACCGCACGAAACCGCCACAGTTGGTGTATTTTGAAAACGAGCTTACCAGGTTGATGAAAACGGTGCCGGGAATACGCGACGAGCAAGTGCGTGAAATAGTCGAATACCTCAGTTCCGAGGACACGTGGTCCGATTCGTACGATAGCTCGGATTACACCAGCTCCGATTTAGAGGGGGCAGCCGGTGGCCGTCGATCGGCGCTGCAGGAGCAGATCTCCCAGAGCTGTCAACAGATTATCAATAAATTCGACACCGCGTCGAATAACACTCTGCTGGATAAGGACAGGGAGGATAAAACTGGACCAACCGGGATGCAACCGTGTCTAGGCAGAGACACCGCTTTCGTGTATCAGAAATTGGTTCAAAGTTTCACGAAAATGGCTGGCGATGGTGCGAGCTCCGACGCCAATTCGACTCCGCACAGCAGTCCACCGTTAATCGCTAAAGTGATGCACCATATTGGTAGCCGATTGGTAGCTCTGATGCACGAGGTCTCCGAAGGCGGACCAACCGTGCAGCATCACTCCACGAGCTGGAGACGATACTCTCAACACCACCGAACGCCCTCTTCGGCATCCACCACGGAAGACGACGATTCTACATCCGACTCGACGAACACACCTTCGTCGGCGCATTTGCAACTACCCAGATCCAAGTCCCACGATCCTTTGCTGCTGATCAACAACCATCCAGCAGTATCGACGGGACAGGAAGGCGAGGAACGAGAAGCTAGCGATTACGAAAGGTTTTCTTGGCGTGGAAGCTTCGAGTCGGCGTTAATGGCAGCAGACTCCAGGACGAAACTCAGCCTCCTGGCTTGCTCCGGGGATGTCAGTGTCGGTGCTAGTGCTAGTGCTAATGCCTTGGCCATGGCTGCTAAACGCCGCAGTGCCGGGGACCTGTTGTTCAATCCAAAGAGTTTCTCCAGAGAGCAGTTGGATAGGGTTAGAAGTTGCGGGTCCATCGGCGGCGGGAGCGGAGGTGCCGCCAGTGGATGCGGAGGATCGGTGGAGGAAAGGATTTGGAGCAACAGGAGAAGATCTTCCGTTCCCGATGCCAATACCAGGGGGGAATCCGGTAAGTCCGCTACTTCATTCCTTCATAGAATTCTTAAACCTATGCACTATCATTTTTTTCTTAGTTTGTTCTGAGCCAACTCTGTTTTAACCCTCCATGAGCACTCGTAACTTTCAGGTCACATGCTAATGTATCGATATTTCACCAAATAATTTTAATTTCTCCACAAGATGACGTATACGTCTTAATTATACATGGTGTGGTAGGACGGATGGTACAACTGAGCACAGGGTGATATACTACGTGTAAAAATAAGTCGAAAAAATAGAATGACATTTTTTCGTTTGACGCTTTGTTTTTGAGAAAATTGAGTTTGAAAATTCTATCCAGTACGCGTGCAGTACTGTACCGCCTCTAAGTTTAGATATGTATTACAAATAAGAAATGTTAATGTATGGTTAATACATTTATTAATTTTATTGATATTTCTAACGTTAATTGCATAACATTGTTGAATAAAATGTTTAGAGTGCTGTCCTTGTTGACGCGTACATATCATTGCTCGCCTTATTAGTGAGTCATGAACTGATGCTAATGAATTTTTGACGTTTTATTTGAATAAAACCATTTATTATTTTTTCCTTTGGCTGAAGAGAATTCTCACTTGTTTTTGCGATTTGGAAATTGTTGCCTATAATACTCAGCTGCTGCTGTTGCATTTCTATGACAAGCTCCTAATGCTTTTATCATTTCAACGTATTCGCGATTGCTATAAGTAGACATTGTCACAGCTTGACTGATCGAAACACACTAAAAGTAGAAGAAAGACGTATGGTTGAAGACAAAATGTAAACATTAGAAAGGTCAACATTACGACAGGTAAGCAAAAGGAAACTTGTAGAGAGCAATGACTTGGGGAGACAGTTCACTGTACGCGTACTAGATAGAATTTTCAAATTCGATTTTCTCGAAAACGAAGCGTCAAACGAAAAAATGTTATTCTTTTCTTTCGATTTATTTTTGCATGTAGTATCACCCTCTGCTCGGTTGTACCACGCGTCCTGCCAGATTCTGTATATCTTTGACAACCAGTAACAATATCGATAATGGCTGGCAGCACTATCAATCTCGAATAACAAATTAAATGCCTTGCAGGTGGTCTACAGAAAACAAATTAGTTTTGGTATCACATGTTAGGTATAAAGTACTTGCTTGTAATTATTTAAAGTTTAATGTTTTATTAACAAAATGACTAGTCATAAAGAAGCTATAATATTCCTATATCCTCCCCTACGGTCGGCAGAGCTGTAAAGTAATTATTACTTTTGTATCCATTACAATTTGGAATAATTACTTTTGAATTAGAAATTAGTTATTTAAATAATTCTTGATTACTTTCTTTTTAGTCATTATGCAATATCTTATTCTTAATTACTGAGTAATCCAATTACTTTTTAATAATTACTTATAACTACTCATTCATATTTTCTCAAAGTATGGTATTTTTTAAAACAATCTGCTACATGTAGAAATGGCTTCTTGGCGCAGGTTTCACAAAAGTAGACTGTTGTTCGCATTTTATTTTTCGATTTGAATATGCAAAACATCCATTATGTTTGTCTGAAGAATTTACCATTGGTACAATGTAATTTACCATCTAATCGATGTTCGTAGTCTGATGTTTATAGAGATAAGTTTTATTCGTGATTCAATGCGATCGTATTTGAACATTTGATAAAGAACACTAATTTACTATACTGAGAAATATATAATTCAAGACTTTTATATACATACATATAATTTCAAAGCAATTTTGAATAAAACTGCTCCCCACTAATTTGTTTTATTAACTGCATGAAATTTTACACCAGAGGTGACTTCATAGTGCAAAGGGTTTAACTTTTTACGCTGTAAAACTTCATTTACAGTCTGTTCGAGAAGAGCGTGAAAGTGATATTTCTGAACAAAAATTATTTTTTTTTTGTAAAAATTTGTACACAGATCGTAAATATTGACAACGTCTGGTCATATTTTTCAAATTCGACGAATGAATGTTTTCAGTATTAAAATTAGTTGCCTTCGAAGTTTTCGATTTTTCGATTTCGTTTATAACTTCGAAGTTAAAAGAAAAAGTGTGTAATATCTTCCAGTGCTGTACCTGTGTACCAAGCTTCATAAGAATCGGTGTGTTACAGTTGGGTAATGTTCCTTGTAAGAATCATTCATTCGTTAACATCATTTTAAGCTCCATATCGGAAGTAAAGAGTTATTCATTTGTTAACATAGATTAGATACATTATAAAATCATCGATTCGGAAATGAAGTTACCTTTTCGAGACCATAGAAATATTATAGTTAAATTAAGGGTACCAGATCTATTGTACTACATGTAAAAAGAAAAAAAGAACGCGATACTCTATCTGCCTCCATTCACCAGCGCATTTTTACATCGTTTTCATGTTAATGATAAATGGTTATCGTTTATACTTCTAATAATTACATACACAGCTTACATTTACAGCAATAAAAGCACAGAGATAGATAGGATATCTCGGGTTTCTTTCTCTTTTCTAATGGTAGGATATCTTCACTTACATTAGGTTAGTCAAAAAGTTCGTTCGATTTATTGTAATGGATGTCTCTGCAATTCGAATGATACTAACTTCTTGAGAACTTCTACAAACGAGGAATCATGAGTTTTGTCCAAAAGATGGGGAAAGATCATAAAACATAATGGACAATATGTTATAAAGTAAATATATTTCCTTATCTGAGAAAAATTGCTGTTTATTCGTCGATGAATTTGTCCAAAAGTTGGGGAAAGATCATAGAACAAAATGAACCTTGCATTATAGAGTAAATATATTTCCTTGTCTAAGAAAAATTGCTGTTTATTTATTCACGAATTTCCTCAAGAGATGAGGAAAGATCATAGAACAAAGTGGACAATATGTTATAAAGTAAATATATTTCCTTAACTAAGAAAAATTGCTGTTTATTTGTGCATTACAACCCGAACGAACATTTTGATGAAGCCAATAGGTAAGCCTACTTCTATGTTCGAGACTTCACGACACAATGTGTCTAATATTAATTTGGCAGACACCAGTCGACAATCGCGACAGTCTCGTGCTATTATTGCTAACTCGCGATTTACGACCTCGAAGAAAAATTCAATCCACGAGATTCGAGCCATGACGCAACAAGAGATATCACGTCCACGCTTTTAATTGAACATACTATACCTCTATCATCTGTTGGATTTTACGAAATCGTGCATCAATCGATGTGTTCAAAGGCGACGAGGACACCGAAGATGAACTCGAATATAACGGCGAATCACGAGCGACGACTCTTCCACGTGGAATGCAATCCGCCATCACCGCAGCGACCAATTCTTTGCCGCGTTTGCCAGCTTCCACGGCTCCAGCTGGTTTAACGACAGCATCGATCGCGCCTTCATCGGCGATGCACAAGGCACACAGTGTATATCATTTCCTGCCACAGCATTCTGGCGTAAAATCAGCCAGATATCGTCCGCCTGGCTTCGCAAGAAACAGCAACGTGGCTGGCGCGATCGGTGGACCAAAGCGTGCAGTCAGTGCTCCAGGACTCCAGGTCTCAGGTTCTCAGTCTTCCGTGGGAAAACGTGAAAATTCGAGATCGAGAAGGCAGCAGGCTATGTCCCTCACCTCTGGTAAGTCAATTACATGTCTTTTTTTCCGCTACATGGCCTTTAAACGGTTCGAGGAAACAAGCATATCGTTCGAAAAGCCTGGTATCACGAGTACGCAATCGGCGAAGTAATTAAGGAAATATCTTATGAAAATGAAGCAATGTTTATGATTTTCCTTCAAGGAAACTTGTGACACTCGCAGCATGTTTTTTGTTCGCGAAGTATTCCGTAATGCGGAGTTAAGGTCTATTTACACATATCCGTAAGGTGCCAGTTCCGTATCAGTAACGTCACGGAACGGTGTCCGACGTGTGTGAACATGCCCATTCAATAACAACAGAAGAATATTTGACACTAATGGGACATTACGGAACTGAACGGATACGGAACTGACACGATACGGATATGTGTAAGTAGACCTTTATGGTTCTATCTTCCGGGAAAGTTGTAGCGTGAAGTGTCGAGAAGCGTTTATTCTAGACTCTGTTGTGTCAAATTGAAACGTATAATATAAATTTTGGTTATTAACATTCATAGAGCGTTAAGGGGATATCCTAAATTAAGAGGTCTAAAAAAAGCGGTTTCTCGTGAATTTTTTCAAGATGGAAAAAAAAATTAATTCTATCGAACTTTTTATCCTATTTTCATACATATTTGAGTAGTATGTACAACTTTTTCCAACATGAAATATTCAAATTGAGTCGACTGTGACGCACATTTGTAGAGCCCCTCACAATTAAAACCTTCAATCGGCGGGAAAAATGCAGGTCGTAATTTTGGTTTGACACAAAAAAACCAAATGATATTTTCATTTTCATACATTTTTCTTCTATGTGAATTAAGAAAAGCCCGCAAAAATGGTGAAATGTGAAATTACTGCCGGGTTGAAAAAAAGAACGAGTTCTTTGGGTGAAAAAAATCACTTTAACTTGATAAAAAAGTTGTTTAAAATTTTTTTTGTATGAATTTCCTTAGTTCACATAGAAGAAAAATGAATGAAAATGGAAATTTCTTTTGGTTCTTTTGTGTCAAATCAAAATTACGACCTGCATCTTTCCCGCCGATAGGGAGGTTTTAATTGTGAGGTGCCCTACGAATCTGCGTCACAGTCGACTCAATTTGAATATTTCTTGTTGACAAAATTTATACATACTACTCAAATATCTATGAAAATAGGATAAAAAGTTCGATAGAATTAATTATTTTTTTCCATCCTAAAAAAATTCACGAGAAACCTCCTTTTTTAGATTTCCTAATTCACGATACCCCCTTAACTCTACACTCTGTTGCGTCAAATTGAAACGTATAACACAAATTTTGGTTATTAACATTTATAGATCGTTGACTCCAGGCTCTATTGTGTCAAAATGAAACGTATAACATAAATTTTGGTTATTAACACTTTACCGACTATTGGCCTATTAATCGTCTCTTTTCCATTGGCAACCAATAATTTCTTATTTATTACTGAGATAGTACGATCCCATCGTATGCTCCCATTATTATGCGAATTATAAAATATTACATAAACATAATTCGTAGGAGAATCCTAATGGATAAAATAAATTTTGTATAATACTAATGTCATAAAAATGTACAATATTATTAAATTTTAATACATATATGTCCAAACGCTACCGGTGAGTTAAGTGTTAACATTCATAGAATATAGGCGAATGTATAAAAAGTGACATGATGGACACTAATGAATTTCTGATCATAAATCGATGATTACACAGTTAAAGTACCTGGAGACAATAATTATCGTGGCTTTTGAATGTCAACCGTTGTCTTCCCTATAATTATATCCTAAAATTTGCGCATATTTTGCAATTTCCCGATTGTACAATGATACAGTATATAAAAATCAAGATCATCCTTTCTTCGATATCAATTCGCTTTCCCCTTGCCATAGATATTTATTTCTGCATGTTTCAGTTTCTCCGAAGCGTTTATACTCGATATCAACCTTAGCTTTGGCTCGTGCTATCCGTTTAAATTTAAGTACTAAGTTTTCAACTCTATAATAGGATCAATATGTGTAGAACACTTAAACCAATCGATACACATTGATTACAGATGTTTCCTAAATTGTGACCAAATTTTTTCGCGCAAACTTCACGTATATCCTGATAAAACATAGTGCCATAAAACGACTAACTCTCCCTAACTAATCTTCTGGAATCATCTGTTGAACCCTAACAAACATTTAAAACGTTATGCGAGCAATAATGACAACGTGGCTATTCCAATCTGTTTGAAATTTTACACCGTTCACATTTCCCGTAAATGCGATTATACTTCTGGACTTGTGGTGGCGTATATCCCACAGCTTGCAGAGTCATTATATTTTCATTCGACACGCTTGCGCGATTAAATCGGGATAATCGTGGCTGACCTAAACCCAGAATGCGTCGATAATGGAACATTATAGAGCCTGGAATCGTTATTAGAGACCATTACTATTAACATCGCTTATGGTATTGGCAACATCGTTCCAACTAATCGTGCGATTAAAGCCACCGATGGCGGCAACTCGTTCCGTGAAAGTTATTTTTACAAAATTTACCAACGACGCTCGATTTTAAACGACAGAAGTATACCAACAAGTAGAACGAGATTTTTCAACGAGTACCTTAAAGTATTTATTGGAGTGTAACAGGTGTAGCCGCTTTATTACGGAGATTTCCCTTCTTTCCCGTTCCTTTTCCTCTCCATCTCTCTCTCTCTCTCTCTAACTCTCTCTAACTCTCTCTAACTCTCGATGCGTACACAATCGATAAAGCGGTGTAACATTGCGTTCTGCGTATGCGTACTGTCGAACTTCTCTGCTTATCGTTTTCTTTCATATTTACTCTTGCATAGGGCATCTAGATAAAAATACAGTCAATTCTATTGTCCTCGAGAATATGGAATTCATTTAATGTAATTTCATAATTATAATCTATATATATAGAAATGAAAGCCTAAACCCTTGAACCTAGACAACTGAAATTTTGCACAGAGGCTTCCTTTATGATGTATACAAAGAATAAGAAAGGATATTTCGAAATTCTGTACTTAAGGGGGTAAAAAGGGGTTGCAATGTTTGTATGAGGAATACTTTATTTGTGACCGGATTTGCTTGACACTTGGTGTTAATGTTCTTTGATATTAGGTGGACTGGAAAGTACTGTCGTTTCTTTTACATTAAATTCAAACGAATTGTGCAAATTTTCAAGGCCAGATCGATAAAAATCAATGAGCTGTCGAGTGATAAACAAGTATTTAAAATTGAAGAAACGACATTACTTTCCAATGCACCTAAAGGGATGGTAATTCCTTTCAATTTCCTTTATAATTGATTTCCTGTTCTTTAATTATAAAGAGAATTTAGTTAGGACATTTTTCAACCCAAAACATTGGGTTCATTTTTAGCATAGAATTAGAATAGTATTCCACGCAGGTGAAACCGCGGGGCACAGCTAGCGTTCATATAATTGTGTTCAGTATCAAAAACTGTATTATATGATTCCAGTGGCGCACCCAGAACTGTGGCAAGGATGTATAATTAAAAATTAACAGAACTTAATACGTCTCGATATTAAATTTAATTATCTTAATTATGTCATACACTTACATGAAGTTACCATTCGGTATTTAATAATATTTTAAAAATTAGAATTATTAGAAGTATTTATTTTCTTAGTTTACAAATAATTAAATATTACAAAGCATCATTCTGTTTCGTTAAAAATGCATACAAAATTAATTGTGTATGAATATGTATGTCAATACCTACATTTGTTTCACACGTTTCCAAAATGGCTGAAGAGTAGAGGGGTCAATCTTTCGTTGTATGAAAAATTGCTCATAAAACGTAGCTACGACTCGTAGCCCACGAGCCATTTCAAATAATAACGAACGTATCGCAACGTACAAACGACTGCATTATTCAAAAATTACGTAATTTTCCATTCATAACAATCGCTGAACTAGCAAGTAATAGTAATTAAACGGTAACAACAATAGTAGCGTTACACGATCGCTTACAACACAGGTGTTCACCAATGGTTATACATTTCACTTCGTTATGACGAAGATGAAATGATTTTATACACTTACGCACGATGTATTTTCACCGTGTGAGTAATACGTTCTTCAAATTGTTGCACAAACATTTCACATCATTCGATATACTTCTTTGTAATACCATATTTCTGTTTATCGTAACAGCAACAAACATATTAAGTAACATACTTAAATATTTTCATTCTAAAGAATTCTAAATGATCTGAGATAAATAATAAATAAAAATTTGTTGAAAGAGGAAGTATAATAATGCAAATATTTTTGTTATTAAACGTTACATAATTTCGAAACCAAGCAGTTAATTTCTATTAAATTTGACTACTTTTTACATCCAACCAGTTAAGAATTCGACATATATTTATATTCAATTTGACCAACTTTTACAATATCCGATCAATGTGTTCAATTTAACTAACTTCTATCTACAATCAATTTATTAAATATGACAAATTTTTACATTCATTCGTTGTATTGAATTTGACTAACTTTTAGATCCAATCAATTTATTATTACCAAACCACGGATGTTTATCCATTTATGACAAATGAAAATATGTACACATCTATAACAATGTGCACAACTGCAAAAATATATAAAACATCAACAATAACATGCTATATCATTTAGAAGATAAGATACTCTCCCTTAAGTTTCTATTCTTTTTCTTTATCTGTGAAAATCTAAATTAGCATAAACATTCGCAGTCTAATCATTACCATCAACGATATTGTTTGTCGTTTGCCACCTGGAGAAGTTAGCTGCAATGCTGATTAAATATCAGAGTATCTTAGCCAAAGGACGACTTCGCGACTTACACCCGGAAGCCTCATTTATTATCAACGTGTTTCTTTGTTCAAAAATAGCCTTGGAGTTCTGAGGCGATGTAGAAGCCGTACCATTGAAATGAACCGATTCTAATGAACATGTCTACATTCGTCAAACAATCGTGA